TCCGTCCCGCCAGTCAGCTCTGGCGGATGGGGGAGGGGGGAATCCAGCCCCTCCCCTGTCACGGCAGAGAGCCGTGACAGGATCGAGAGGTGAGCGAACGCCGGTATGTGTTCGCTCACCTCCCGATCTACTGAGCCGACCTGTGACAGTCTCATTGTCACAGGTCGGCTAGAACTATGAGGTGAGTGAAAAGCACCCACCTCATAGTTCTCCTTTAACTGGTTTTCTGCAGTAATTTGCCATAAAATGTGATCTGATCCTCATCTAAGTCACAACAATAGACAAACACAATGTGCTTAAGCTGAAAACACACAAACAATTCTGATTTCCCGTGTCTCTATTGAACACACCCATTAAACATTCACAGTGCTGGAGGAAAATGTAAGTGAACCTATAGACTAATTACTTCAACGAGAGCTAATTGGAGTCAGTAGTTTGCACCAGAGCCATAGCTAGCTCCTTTTGCGCCTGAGGCAAATACAGAAAATTGTGCCACCCCCTCCCCAAAAGGCGTGTGAGGTCACCCGACGCCATGCACGCGCAGCGTCATGTGATATAATGCACCCTGCCTTCAGGATGGCGGCGTGCATGCGCAGAATGTGCTGGTGGCCAAATCCAAAATAGCACAAAAATTTGTTTCATTTGATGAAACTAATTAAAACATTTTTAGTTTCTGTTTATTTCGTCATTTTTTATTATTATCATTTATTTATACTGTTGGGGGGTTTCAGGGAAATATTAGGGGCCTAAACAGACCCCTGACATTTCCCTTTCGAAATAGAAAAAGAAATTGGGGGACGGAGTCCTCAATCTCTTTTTCTGCAGCCTCAGCACTCAATGAATGCAAAACACTCAGTATAGAGGCTTCCCATTCGTTCAGACACTGATGATAGTAAAATATTTACTATCACCAGTTTCTGAATGGGGAGGAGCCTCACGTGCAGAGGCTTCCCATTAATTCAGAAACTAGTGATAGTAAAATATTTACTATCATCCCGTTATCAATGGGTAGAAGCCTCTATAGTGAGTGCTTCCACCCATTGAGAAACTCATTAATGAACAGGAAGTGATGTAAAGCACTTCCTGTTCATTCATAACTGTTTACAAACATTGGAGTGCTCACCTAGTAAACTATCCTAAATACAACCCTCTTCCCCTAAAAAACCCCACATATGCATATATAAATAAAGGGAAAAAGAGCAGACCATTTTTTGTTTTACTTAAGCACATTTCATTCAAGCAGCTCAATAGGTGAAACTGAGAATTCCTGCTCTGTAAACATTTTAGAGAAAACGATATTGGTAATTTTGCAGCAAAATCAATTTCACCATTTCTTCACACTTTACCAATAATCATTTCATGTTTTTATTATCTTACGAAGTTCATTGGTGAGTGTAGGTGCTGTTCCATCCATGACACCATCCACAGTCCTAGGATGGCAAGGGCAGACGGTCTTATAATTGCAGATGATTCTCCCAGCAAGAAGAGACATTTATTTGCTGGAAGTCAATCTGTTAGGAGAAGAGGCCGGGCCATGTCATTTTATTGCAGTGTAGGGTGCCACTTTGATTTTAATGGATCAATTACTCAACCTGGAAAAGAATCTGGAGCATGTGCATAATTTATTACAATACATTTTAATGTCACCCACTTCACCAACTTAACTTAATAAAAACCGACTTTTAACCCTCTCGCATTTCCATTCCCTGTGATCTATTGGCTTCCTTTATGTAAATCCTGTTTTCTCTCGGGCTCCTCTGTAATGTTATTATGTTATTTATTATAGGAAGAGAAAATGGCTTATTGATCCGGTTTAATCAGATGGATCATTTGTATACAAAATTATTTGTTGTATGATTTTTCCATGAGAGTGGTTTTATTAATCATCCCCTATTAGACCCGTTCATTCTCTGACATTTTTTTCTTCTTCCTGTTCCTCTGTTTTTGGTTATTAATTTGCATTATGTCAGCCATCTGACTTAAAATGCAATCTCCAGTTCCCCTACTCCATTTTGTTCCCCTTGCCTCTGATATTCCTTGTCTCATATCCTGCCAAATATGATGGATATTCCACCAGCCTCTGGTATTTGACATGTCCGACGA